AAAAAAAAAAAAAAAAAAAAAAAAGGAGACAGAGAGAGAGAGAGAGAGGAGGATTGTGATATCCTGGTATGTGGCAGCCTTCATTGACCTTGGCACTGTTGACATCTTAGATTGGATAGTTCCGCGTGGTGAAAGCTGTGGTGTGCAGCAACACGCTTGGCCTTGACCTAGATACCAGCGGACATCTGCAGTTGTGCCAACCCAAAATCTCAACACTGCCAAATGTCCTCTGTAGAGCTAAGCTGCCACCCATCTAGAGGCACCTGAATATGGGTCATAAGGAGCTTCTGCCGATGATCCCCAGTATTTGTCGGGATGCTTGTTTGATGACAAGAAAGGCAAGGCTTTGAAGAGACTGTTGGAGACTGAGTCTCACATCTAAGTTTCCTATTCCAAGTCCAGCTCTCACCCATCCATCCTGAAGCCCTCTTAGGACTCTAGCCAGAGCTTTGCTTCTCCCTTCAGCGTGTCACTCTACTCCTACCTTTAAGCGCTGGGTCCCATCCTGTCCCCTTCCCTCTCCCTGCCCCATGGCCCGTGCCAGGCTGTGACCCACTGGTTGGTCCTGCTGTTCCTGCAGACGGGACCTCGGGCTGTGCCAGGGCACACCCATCACATCTTGTTCAGCCCCTTGGGCTCATCCCCGTGTTTGAACACACTGATGGTGACCTGGCCTGTCTCAGAGCCGTACTTGTTCTTGACAAAGACACCATAACGCCCACTGTCCTCACTGTTGACCTTCTCGATGGTGATGGTCACTTCTGCTCCCTTCACATCCATGCGATAGCGGTCAAGGAAGGTCACAGGCTGATCATTCTTCAGCCAAGAGATCTCAGGGGCGGGGTCTCCTGAGACGATGCAGGTCAGGCACAGGGTCTGTTTCAACGGACAAGAAGAGAACAGTCTCATCTTCTTGTAACTTGACCTTGGTGTTCACTTTCACACTCCAGAGCCTCCTAGCACAGGTGGCTCCTGGGGTTAGGTGTGTTTGCTTATAACCCATACATGGGACCTTCTATTTTAAACCCATATTCTTCATCCTCAGTATCTCTATGGAATATTCATTGATATTTTAGGTCATCCTCACTCTAGCATATTGCTATATTGCTTTCTGTCATACATAGGTCATTATAATTTTACTTTGCAAGTAGGGTAATACTGCCTTAGCACACAGATATATGAAGAGAGTTGGAAGATTCTCAAACAAGTTCTAATGCAGAGCAGTGGAGTGTTATGGTGAAACACAGGCTCCGGAATTGGGCTGCATGGCTATGGATCTCAGCTCTATGCCTTCAGGCTCTGTGACCTTAGGTGAGTCCCTTCACCACTCTGGGTCTCGGTTTCCTCAGCTAGACAGTGTGAGTAGCAATACTACATTTCATGGCATTGCCCTATGCTGTTGGAATAAGGCCTGGCACAAAGACAGCTCCATAAAAGCAGGAGCTGTCATTTTTATGTTTGTTTTTTGAGACAGGGTCTGGCTATGTAGTTGAGGCTGGACTTGAACCCACTAGGTAACCCAGGCTGGCTTTTGAACTCAGTGATTCTCCTGCCTCAGCCTCCTAAGTGCTGGGATTATAGATGTGCACCACCACACCCAGGCTCAGTGGCTTTCCCTTATACACAACCAGTCAGTGATGTGCAGTCAGTTGGCAGCTCTAGCTCCTCTGGCCACAGACCTAGGATGACCCAGGGTGGACCCCAGGAGCAATGAGGGGACTGCTGGCATGGCCAGTGGGGTTGGTACCTTGTCTTCCATGATGGTGGCCACATCTGGCAGGCCCCTCACTACCTTGGCGCGATCTGGAAGGGAAATGAAAGGCCAATCATGAATGTTTTCCTGCCAGCTGATTCCCAGAGCAGGTCTCCTTGGGGCTGAGGTTTATTTTTAAGCAAGACTTCTTTCAATTTTCACCATTTTCGATGGAAATCTTTAAGACTGTTATTTGCTTCCTGGCCTTTACAAGTAGAAGACATAGGAAATGCTGTGTTTCTGCCACCAATCTGAGGTCATGATGATGGGCAGTACCAGGGGGTGACAGTGAGATGCCCCTGCCTCAAAAAACTAAAAAAAAAATAAGCAAATACTACTGTTCTGAATTTAAACTGGCAACACCCAATGATCAGCCAGGTAAGGGAGGGAACCAAGAGGTGAGGTCTCTGATCCAAGGAAGGCCAAGGCCACTGTGGGTGGGCAGGAAGAGAGCATGGCTGTGAATCACTAAGCAGAAAGCCCACTGTGATCTGTGTGCTGCTGTGGAGGCCAAGGGAGAGAAGAGGTGCTCAGCACGGCCCCAGACTCTGCATTAGGAAGCACAAAGCCTGCTGTGGATGGTATCTGTGCAGTTCACGGAAGGGGAGCAGGACCCTGGATCTGCCAGGGAAGGCTCAGGGATGGGTGCGTGGGCTGGGGATATTTGCCCGGTGCTCCTTACACGCAAGGATCCACTTCCTTCACTGGCTCTGATTCCACAAGCCCAGCAAACACATGTTGGCGAGATCAACGATTAGGGTCCTAGACGGAGCACACTGTCTAGGGACATGCGCTCCAGGATGTGAGGGGACATTTGTGCTGGGTAAGCAGTTAAGGGGCTGCTGCGAGCACCTCCTCCAGGAGCAGGCTGGGGCTCCTTCCGTTCTGCAAGGGCTCCTCCTTGCACAGCCACTGAACCCTCCCGGTTGTCCCGACCACAGTTGGGAACGAAAGGCCTGTATTTCCTATCAAGTGGGGGTACTTGGGGACAGTGATGCCACGCGGGGAGGAGCTCAGCTGCTTCTGTGCTCTGCCGCCCAGGCCTGTCCCTCACTGAAGTGCTTGTTTCCCATCGCTGGCCAGCAAGAGGAGGGGAGGCCAGGTTCCTGGCACTGGGTCATGCAGACCTGGCTGGGACCTGATGGGCAAGACCAGCTTGAGCTCACAGACCGGGTTGTGGCTTCCTTGGCAGCTCAAAAGCCATGCCAGGTCCCTCTGGGCTTGGGGCTGTGCCTCGGATTAGAAAAGACCGTAGAGCTCTGACAGCCTCAGCTTCAGTTTGACAGCACCTCACCACCACAGCTCACATGGAAAGGCCAGCATGGCTTTGTTCCTCTCTGAGCCCTGGGCTGGTTCAGCACCATGCGGGGCTCGTCCACCACCACGACCTCAGGTTCCTGGAACTCTTTGTCATCCATCTTCGCAACGCCACCGCCCAGGTCTCCCCAGCAGCCCTGTGCGGTCCCCAAGCCCCTCAGACCCTACCATGGATCTGGGACTTTAGGAGCCCTCCAGGGGGCTTGAGCTCCACAGATAACCACCCCAAATCAAAAGCGAAACCACAGAAACATGGGGTCTTACTCTTCTCGATGATGGCCAAGGCTCTGAAAAACAGAAACGGGAAGGAGGTGTGGGTTCTGCTTGTCCGAGGACTGCCCTGCCCCAGAGGGGTGGGGTCCTGAGCACAGATCAGGCCACCGCCTTGGGGGAGGGTATGATTGGTACTGAGAAATGTGGGGGAAACTTACTTCAGTCTCTGGTGTTCAGCCAGGGCGTCATCAAAAGCTGTGAGAAGGAAAAGGTGGTGGGGAACGTGAGGTCTCTGCAGTGTGACCCCAGGGACAGGGGTTCAGCCCTGACTGTCTCCCAGTCTCTTCCCCATTCCAGTATTTTCTTGGGGCAGCGACGGGATTGGGTGTGAAGAAGGGAGCTCCCCCAGTGAACAGTGGGGTTTTCCAAACAGGTTTCTGAGCAGACAGGTGGATGGCTCACCTTGCCCTGAGAGATCCACTGAGAGCTGCCGGACTTCCTTCCCGGCAGCTATTTCCAGGGTGTATTTGCCCTTGTCTGAGTCTTTGGGGTCCAGGACGTGCAGCCAGATCTCATCCAGGGTGGTGCCTGCTCTGATCCGATCGCCGCTCTCCAGGCGCTTATCTCTGAGCGCCGCGGCACAGGAAGGTAAAGGTTGGTGGCTGCAGGTCTACGAGTGACCCTCCCGGGGCACCTCTCAGGGTAGACATCGGATGCTATCCGTGCTCTCTATTCACCCAACCTTCTGTTCATCTCCCAGACACTCACCATTCAGCCCTCTGTTCACTGCGGCATCTCAACTATGCACAAGTGCTATAAATGTCATGTGTCCCAAGGGGTGGGACCCCAAGAAAATAGTACAGAGGGACTCCTTCCACCCTCAAGAATCACTTCCTCTCCTCTTCATCTTCCTCTCAAACCCTCCCACGGTTCCTTCCTACAATCCTTCTTTGTTAACTGTTCGGAACAAAACACAGGAAGACTGAAGCCTTTCCCCGCTTTTTACTTAAATTTCATTCCCGGAAGACGCCTGGCACATGTCCCAGGGTTCTGTCGCCCCAGCCTGTTGCCAGGGCTCCGAGACCGGCTACCGAAGGAGCCCCATTGTCCTGAAATGCTCTCTGGCCTTTGCTCTGCCTCATCTGATGCACTCGACCAAGTGAGTCTGTCCAGCGGGTGCAGCAGGGCGTCCTGGGAGGCTGAGGCGAGCCTATGGTAAGGAGCCTGGGGAAAATTCCGCTCTCAAACTATCTGGAGTGCCGGAGCTCCCGGCTGCATCTCTGTGGATACACTGTCTATCCTGCCTCTCAGCCCCCACCTTCAGCTGGCTGTCAGCCCCACAGGTCCCTCTCTTTGGACACGGTCCCTATTCCTGGTGGCCCAGGGCCACCGTGACCCACTGGACTGTCTGGTTCTTCTCTGTTCCTGCATCCCTCCCTCTGCCACTTTCCAATGCGGCTCTGAGATCACGATCCTTCTGAGGTCGCAGGTATTCTATCAACACAATTCCCACTGCATTTCTACTCCTCGGACTGCAGATCCCTGTCCCCAACTCTGACAGTGGACAATAGAACTCGCGTGAAACCTTTGCCCACGCCAGCTTCCTGGGACTGGTCTCTGCAGGGAGGACTGGGTGGGGGAAGCGGGAAGCCCCTGTGGGCAAGGTCAACCTACTTGTGGAACCAGGTGGTCTTCATGTATTCCACATTGTAGTACTTGACCTTGCTGAAGAGCCGGATGCCCTCCTCGGTCCCCTGAATCTTCAGTGGAGTTGCAGAGAGGGCTGCAGAGGCAGAGGAGAAAGGCGTCTCTCCCAAGGCCCCCCCGGGCAGCAGGTTTTGGGGCAGCCTGCTCCCTCCTGCTCTGAGGGGTGGTGTGGTGGGCACACAGCTCGGTGGGGAGGCAGGAGCTTCTCTTCTGACTGTCCCCCAACCCTGGGTAGCCCAGGCAGGAGAGGCCCTGTGAGGCTCTCTGGCACCAGGGCAGGGCTGGGCAAAGAGGCAGACTTGCTTACCACCAATCCTGCCCAGCTCAGTGAAGATGGCGTCCAGGGCTGGAGGGAGACAGAGAAGGGTCAGCTGTGCAGGCTTCCCTGGGGAAGTGCAGTGGTGGGGGAGCCCTCGGAAAAGGCTGGAGGAGCCACCTGGGGTACAGGGAGCTCTGCAGGATGACTTCAGAGTGCGGGACACTCAGTGATGGTGCTCAGAGGGGCCAACCTCATGATTCTCTTGCAGGCTGAGCCAACCAGGCAAATGGACAGAGCAGAGGGGTGAGGCCAGCAGGTTTACTGCAGTGGACAGGCACCACAGGACCTTGCCACTGCTGAGCCGTGCAAACTTGGGCAAGTCACTTAACCCTATCATGCCTCAATGTCCCCAAGTGACAGGGGAGCAGTCTCCTGCTCCAGACTGACCCCTCTCGGGCCTCCCAGCCCCTTTCAGCATCACCAGCTCCTACCTTCGCCTGTGAGGTCCAAGACGGTGTCATCCTCCCCGCGATCATCAGAAACCACTGCTCTATAGAGTCCCTTGTCCTCTTTGGACAGCTGGAAAAGAGGGTGAGAGATGGCAGTGTCAGTATGAGTTCCGGAAGGAGAGACACCAGGTTAGGAGGGCCATGCTTTCTATGTGACCTCAGGCCAAGGCCCTTCTCTCCTTGGGCCTCAGTTTATTCCTCTGGGCTCTAGCCAGTTCATAACCTGTCGATTTCTAGCTCAAGGCTGGTGTGGACCTGGGGAAAAGGACAGACTGAGAGCAGAGGTAGATGCCTCTTATTACATGGCTCCTTCTTTAGGACCTGGGAGTGTTATTTGCCTCCCTGTTCCCTCAGAGGCCCCTCGACCTACCCATTGCTACATAATGGGTCTGGGGTCAAGACCCTAGGCAGTGGCAGCTTGTAACTTGGGGGCCGAGGAGCTGCACCCCACGGATCCTTTCCTGTCTGTCTCCCTTCCCTCCGTGCATCGAAGGCCCCACAGACCCAGCCATCCTGGAGGCTGGTGACTGGAGTGGATCCGTTCTCTAGCTTTTCGTCCTTGAATTCTTCTCTCTGAGCTTCAGTGTACTCATCTGGAAAATGGCAGACTTCCTCATTCTGCCCACGTGCTGCGGGGCCCCGGGGTGACACACTGCAGAAAGCCGGGAAGCTCTGTGCCAGTGGGGGCCCCACAACTACTAAGCACCTACTCGATGCCATGCCCTATTCAGGGGCTTGCCCAATGGTAACAGGCCGACATGGCATTGTCCTGGCCGAGATTTGAAGAAGACCCTGAAATTGTTACTGTCTTCCCAATAGGTGTGGAAACTTGGGCAAGCTAGACTGCTCTAGACCCTTAGAGGCCACGGGAATCAGCATCAGGGCAGAGAAACAGATGGGAAAGGAGCAAGCCAGCCTTGCGCTTCTCTGAAGGCCCTGGGTCGGGGATGTGGGTACACTGAGCTCTAGGCTACTTTGCTCTGCTCAGAACGCAGATGCCTTTCCTGTCGGCAACGCTGTGCTGTTGGCACAGGAACGACAGTTGAGAGTGGAAGGGATTTTCCAAGCTGCTCATTTTACAGATGAAGGCTGAGGTCAGAGAGGGACAGCTCAGGCCTGGAGCCCAAGCAAAGGGAAAAAACAGTAATACTGGTTTTGTCTTTGTGAGAAATATTGGTGGTTGTTTTCTTTTGGGGGGCATTAGTTTTGATTTTTTAGCAATGCCGCACAAACTATTATTTATCTTGACTATTGTGTTTTCTGGTGCTCCTTAAACTGTGCCCCAGGGTGAGTGTCTCACTTGCCTCACCAGAATCCCGGTCCTGCTCTGGACTCCCGGCCCAGGGCTCCCAGCACAGCCTGGTGCCTGGTGTGCAGCTGACAAGGGTGTGAGCCCTGGGCTGGAAGTGCATTTACCTCCTCAATGCAAATAAGCCCCTCTCCGGTCTGTGGGTCGTACTGACCATCGGGTGCCTCTCTCTTCTGGAAGAACCACTGGAAGCGAGTCTCCTTCTTGGTGTTGGTCACCTGAGGGAAGTAGGTGTGAAGGACTCTATCGTGCTGTCTCTTTTTAAGTAAAAGCTCAGCTCTTCACTTCCTGTTACAAATATGACTCCCTCTGCCCCCACGGACGTACACACAAACACTCACACGCAGAGTGAAGGCTGGCTGACCCCACCCAAGTTCCCACTGGCTCCCTGTTCCTTCTCCATTTTGTTTCCCTTGTAATTGTCTAACGCCACCCCCCCAGTGCTGGGGGTAAACCCAGGGCCTTATGCACACCTCACCCCCAGCCATGCCTATACTCCTTAGACCCAGATATCACTTCCTCCAGGAAATCTCCTGCCTCAGCCCCTTCCCACCAGGACTCATCAGTTTCCTGCGCAATCTGATTGAACATGAGGCATCCTGCTTTCCAATAATCCTGCCTCAGACCACGGGCTTTCACAGCCTCAGGAAAGCACGTCCTCGTGTGCCCAGTATCTGGTGCTTAGTAGGTGCTTTGAGATCACTGGATGAACCTGCTCCTGGGGAGGGGGGAACCCACTTATTGACCCTGCCCTTCCCTGCTTATCTAAGAGGCTGCAGAGCGCTGGAAAGCTCGGGAGGCTTTGGAGTCAGGCCGACTAGGTTGACACCCGGCCCCTGCCTGTGGTCTGGAAGGATATCCCCACTTGCCCTCTCACCCACGAGGTGACCATAACAACGCAAATCTCACTGACAGGCAGGCGGATGACGTGAGATACTACTGTGACGCACTGAGCAGTGCTGACAATAAACACAGTGGACCCCTCCACGTACCGACCCCTCAGTGGCTCCCAGGCACCCCGGCCCCACTGGATGCCTTCGGAGGATCAAGCTCAAGGGTGACCCACCTCGTGAATCCTGCTGCCCCTTCCCATGTAGGAGATCAGCCAAACACTGGGGATGGAATTTGAGGGATGGGGTGGGCAAGGACAGCCAGCAGGACAAGCCTCTGGCTGGAGGTGGGGCAGGGACTCACCTTGCACGTTAGCAGCACTTGGCAGTCCTCGGTGACCTTCCACTGCAAAGGTTCCTGGAAGTAGGGACCTGCGAGTCCAAAACAAACACGGCCACCTGTCAGAGCCCCAGGCTAAGGCGGGCGCCACCTGGTGGCCAGATAGGGAAGCCAGCAGGGAAGGAGGTGGCTAAGGACCACCACCCTGGGTTTGAAATCCAGATGTGAGGGGGAACTTGGGAGGCAGAGGTAGGAGGACTGCTGTGAGTTCGAGGCCAGTCTGGCTACATAGTGAGTTCAGGGCCAGCCTGAACTACAAAGCGAGATCCTGTCTCAAAAAAAAAAAATCCAGATGTGTCAAGGGTGGGGTCTGGGGTTGGGCAAGTGCTGGTTTAAACTGGCACCGGGAGGGAGGTGGACTGAATCTCAGTGGGCCTCTCTGGGGGGGGGTCCCCTGGGGGGGTGGGGTCCCCTCAACCCCCAGGCAAGTCATTCTCCTGCACAGTGGCTGAGACTTTTGACCTTCACCCGGCAGCCCTTACCCTGTTTTCGTTTCCAGTCTCTTCTCTTGGCATCTGCCTTCCTCAGAAGTTGGTCAAAATCTGTGAACACATGGGGATGCTGGTATGAACTGAGAGGAGTGCAGATCGCCAGGGGACTGTGGGGTGGACAGAAGTCATGCAGGGAGGCCAGGCACATGGGCCGGATGCAGGTGGGCGGGGCTGACCATCGTCCACCAGGGCCAGGGTGATCTGGTTTTTGGCTTTTCCATCTTGGAGCTGAGCGGTGTAGGACCCTTTGTCATCTTCAGACAGGTGCTGGATGATCACTTCCACCAGGCCCTTCTCACGGTCAAAGTTGATTTTGCGGTTCTGGGAAGAGCAAGCCCGAGTCCTTTTGTCACGTTTCCTGTCTTGGGAACAGGTTGTGGGCCATGCCTCAGGGTGGAGTTGAACTTGGGGAGCGGGGTGTGAAATGTGCAGAGCTGTCATCCTTCAGAGACTGGGGACCAGCCCGGTAATACTGTTCTGCCAGTGTAGACCGGGGCACCCCAGCTACTGGGCCCCAGCAACATGCTCTGGGCGCTTGAATCAATCACATGGTAATAATGCTCCCCCCACTGTGCCTTATTTTTGGTTATTTCTTTCTTCTTTTAGAATTTCACGGAAAGAAACCCCGTGAGCATGTGGAAGATACCATAGAGATAATATAAGAACACCTGTATACTACTCCCCAGAACTAACTCTCAACTACATTTTGCTACATTCCCAACAGTTTAAAAACCTTCATTTTCCTCCTTTACTTCCTCTGATTTTATTTGTATACATGATTTGATGGAACGATCTAATCTCTCTCTCTCTCCCTCCCTCTCCACTTCCTTCTCTCTATGTCTGTCTATCTCTTTTTCTGGGGACTGAATCCAGGGTCTTCCTCATTCCCAGTCCACAGTGTTTGTGAGGCGGCATCCTGAGCTCGCAGTCGCCACATCTGTAAGTCGGAGCAACTGACCACCACCAATGTACAGCTCACTCTAACAAAACCTGTCTGCCTGTGAATGGAAATATATTTAAAATGAAAATAAAAATAATACCCACTCTGTGATCGGAAGAATTAAAAATCACTTCAAATGAAATAATACGTATTTTACTATGGAGGTGCTTAGACAAAATCTCACTCATGCTACACTGACTGGTGAGCTGGGTTGAATTTAATTAAGCAAAAAGATTGGAAGCATTTTGTCCAAGAGCAGAAACATGAGTGAAAGAGCACAAGAAAAGTGGTGGGCAGGATAAAAACTCTCTACTGAGTGTACACCAGGCTCGTGCAAGGGCACTTTGCATTTTCGCCGAAAGCAGTTAGGGCCTAGGCTCGGGTACTTATCAGCTTGTCCAGCTGAGCAATGTCTGGGGGACACTGGAAAGTTGTCGAGGCACAGAAAAGCCCTTGTGGAAATGCCCCTCACTCTGGCCAGCATCCAGCATCCTGCCCCACTCCCCGTGTACTAAAAGCCGATGTTCCTGTCCCCGCCCCACCTGGGACTGTCCCCCGTGAGGAGAACCAAGGCCCCCTGGGGGATGGAGAGTGCCGGTTACCGGCGAGCTGAAGATCTCCTTCTCATTGAAGATGAGGTGCAGCTCGGCAGCCGGGGACAGCTTTTCCACTTCCAGCCACAGCCGCACCTCCCCTTGCTCCAGGATGTCAACGTTCCAGCCGGAGATCAGCTTGATCACTGGAAGGCACAGGTTGGGAAGGGCACAAGTAGGGCACTCTCCTTTCCTCCCTGCTAGCCCCACCTGGACCCACTGTGGGCACTTGACCCGCGGCTGGCTGGGGTAAGAGCTGAGGAGCGTAGGGTGGCTCTGGATTTAACGGATCTCAGGGAAGCTTTTCCCCTTCCAGGGCTCTGGGGCTTTGGCTCTCAAGCTGGCTGAGCCCTGAATCCCTGAGGACTTTCAAAGACACCTGTGCCAGGTGTGGTGGCACACACTTGTAATCCCAGTATGGAAGAGGCTGAAGCAGGAGGGCCACAGCAAACTTGAGGCTGGCCTGGGATACATGGTGAGTTCAAGGGCAAACTGAGTTTCATAGGGAGACCTTTCTCAA